CTAACTTCAAATCACACAAAAATGGCAAGAAAAGGCTTTAAGACACTCAATGGTTGCTAGGGTTTCGAGAATGGACTGTGGAGGTGATGGAGGCTGGGGTGAGGACTCATAATGATGCTTAAATAGGGTGCAAACCCTAAGGATTAGGGTTTCCTCCTGATGGACCTACTCGCCGAGTCCATTTCGACTCGTCGAGTAGTCCAATTAAATCTCGCGGTCCAGCTCGCACCTACTTGACGAGTTAGGGCTACCAACTCGTCGAGTAGCTCTTATACAATGAACACTTACATAATTACTTTCGTACCAGGAATGGAGCGTTACATCGACATCCTGGTAATGTAATATAAACATATTAGGACCGAAAGGTTCTGAAATGACATGCTCAAACTCGAGAAATTATATTTAGGCAAAGTGGAATACCTAAATGAGAAAATTGTCAAAAATAGAAAAAATTATTATTATGCCCTTACTGAGCATACATGAATACTGAAATAGAAATCCAATGCTAATGGAATGAGTAGGAATGAAGCCAGAGATATAGTTTCGAATAGTGAGTACGCACTAGCAATGCATGAAGTATCATTTGTATCAATAGGAGGAGTCAAGTGATTCACTCAAAGTCTGCAATCTTCCAATGAGCTATACTGCCTTTGCAAGCTACTCATCGCCATTGCCTCATGTTTGAGCATTCTCGCTCTGGGATATGTTGAAGGCTTGTATGGTTAGTATATATAGCGCATTTAGTTTCATATAAGTGTTGTCTCTAGAAATTTAGGGCGAATACAAACGTTCCTAACTCTAGGTCGTGTGTGGTATAGTTCTGCTCATGTACTTATAATTTACACGACACATCTGGAATAACATTGCTCTTTTGCATCAATATGCAATTCAATCCTTGGTTTGATGCATCGCACTACTGGTACATCGTCAACTGTCGCCTTACCCTTCTCCCGGGCATCTATAACATAGGCGACATACCCAGCGTAACCCTGCTCAACGTAGCATCTCGCTCTCGCTGCTGAACAAAGAACTGGTCCGCGCTGTGGCCTCTCGCCCTGAATCACTAACTCTCCCCCACTGGGAGTGCGAACCCTCACTAACTGCAACTCATAATCAATCACTGCCCCATTGGGGCTCAGCCAATCCATACCCACTATAACCTTATTCCCTCTCATGGGAATAGGAACCAAGTCCACTGAAAACTACTCATCAAATAACTGCAGCGAACACCCCCTATGCACTCTCGCGACCCTGACGGTCCTATCTCAGCTATCTCAACCTCGAGTGGACAATCCAGCTCCCCCGGAGCTCTACTAAACCTCTTGCTAAGCGCAAGTGAAACAAATGATCGGGTAGCCCCCGAGTCAAACAATATTGTAGCTGAAATGCCGTTCACTAAGAACGACCCTATACGAAGACATATAACTATGAGAAACAATCAATATCAAATACAGAGATAAGAGGAAAATACATACCCGTCACCACATCAGGAGTCGCCCGTGCCCCCTCTGCTGTCATCTGGAAAGCTCTACTCTTCGCCACTGGCGCCTCAACCCGACCCTGACGGCCGTCTGTAATCCTCAAAGTAGCAGGGGCAGGTGCTGCCACCTTCCCTGCTGCTGCTAAACTCGGACACTGGGACTTTTTATGTCCCCTCTGATTGCAATGGAAGCAAATCAGATCAACTGCTGTGGTGGTGGTGGTGGCTGTACAATCTCTACTCATATGCCCGGTCCGACCGCACTTGTAGCAGCCGGAGATCCCTGCCTTGCACGCCTCATCGTGCAATCTCCCACACTTGCCACACCTACTGTGGCTCTGTTGTCCTCTGGATCTGTGATCCGATACCTTGGGCTTTTTGCCTAAACTCCCTGTGCCAGACGCCGCCTCTGGCTTCCTCTTCTTCTCCATCTCCAAATCTATCTCTCTCTCACGAGCCCTCGCAATCATGTCATCCAGCGTTTTACAGCTAGACCGGCTCACAAACTGGTGGATATCACTCCGCAACATCTCATGATAACGGGCCTTCTTCATTTCCTCATCAGCCGCGTACTGAGGAACGAGAAGAGCCCTCTCCCTGAACTTGGCGGTAATCTCCGCCACTGTCTCTGTAGTCTGAGTGAGATCCTGAAACTCCTTGGCTAACTGCTGCACCTCAATAACCGGTGCAAACTCGGCTCTGAACCTGGTAGTAAAATCAGCCCAGGTCATCATATCAAGAGCTGTGTCATCTCCGATAACATGCCCGATCTCCTCCCACCAATCTCGTGCCCTGTCCTTTAGAAGACAGGATGCTAGTCTGACCTTGTCCCCCTCTGGACATCTGCTGGTGCGGAACGCATTGGCGACATCCGCCCAACCATGGTACTCGCAATGGGATCGCGTGCCCCATGGTAGTCTGGAGCTCCCACACGTCGGAACTCCCTGAAGGTGAGTGTGCGCGACCATTCATGGCCGCCACCTCAGCACGGAATGTGCTCAACTTCTCGTCCATCGGCTCCAAAATACCCTCCTTGATCGAACCAAAGATCACAGGAGTCTGCTCGAGTATGATGCGAGTAACCTTTGAGGAGAGAAACTCCCTAGTCTGCTCATCCAAATGCTCGGCCCCCGAGCCTGATCCCGATCCCTCACCGGCACCTGAACTGCCGACTGCTGGTCTAGGGCGTAAAACCACCATTCTGAAAACACATAATGACAATGTCAGAAATACATATATATCTCGAGGGATCGCTACTACTACAAGTTTCCTGGTCTCATCTCAGCCTTCCTTGATTTGAGTACGGATCCTCTGCTTTCAGTAGTACGGGCCCATACTACCCTTCCACATCTATCCGTACTTTCCTCAAGAACTGCTTTGACTCCACCAGTCCCTTCTACTACCACGGCTCTCTGCTACTCTCATCCTAGGCTTGCCCTAGGGAAATCTCTGACTCCACCCCACCCAGTCCTCAACTGCTGAAGGCCTCCTTGTAATGCCACTTAGTCATCACCTGAATACCATCACATGTGACGAGGCTCAGATAATCCTTCGAGTAAAAGACTCGTCCCTACAACGGTTAGACTCAGACAAGAGCTGCGCAATAGGGCCAAATCCAGCACTCTGAGATTATTCAACCCTGATCACATGTGACGTGACGTATTCACCTAATGGCTAACTCCCATCACTCGGAGTCCCACAAAGCACAAAGCAAGCAGCATTCAGATACGGGAAACTGCTCAAGCAATTCTATCCTCATAACAAGAAATTGTACTAGCATACAATGCTAAGCTCATACTATCAGGCATAACCTAAACAGGCTATCCTACTACTGTCTACTCAATACTAGCATGCAATTCTCATAAAGCTGAGACACATATAACAAGCACATAAGGCATCCTCCTAGATCCTTAGTTCTATTCTAGCATGCTGTTCTACTGAAACTGAAACTGATAATCATAAACTTGTATGGGTAATTTGGGAGTACTTACTTGATCTCGGCTGATTGCACGCACCACACCCTTTTTTTTTTAAAGTTATTTTCTTTCTAAAAATTATTTCCGCTCTTTCTAAAACTCTTTTCTTTTCTCAAAACTCCTTTTACAAAAATTCATTTTCCTTTTGAAATTTTCTATACCAATTCCTTAGTTTGAGTTCAGGCACACCCGAAAGTGTACCCGAATCCCTCAAACCAAGGCTCTGATACCAACTTGTAACATCCCAAAAATACAACCCAAATTTTTTGTTTGAAAACATTACTAAAACCATAACATCAAATATCATATAATAAAACCATGAGTCGTGTATCTCAAATGTCATAATAAATGTATCAAATCAAAACCGATGTCAATATCATGTCAAAAATATCAGAGTCTAAGTCCCAGGCTAAAACTGTGGTGTGTGCCATGCCATAATCCCGAGCCCTTCCCACATATATCTTGTTTGTGAGAGGGTCGAGTAAATGGTAGGTGCTTTGCTAATGAATATGCAAGGTTTAGATCGACATTCTAGTTTATGCTTAGAGTAGGGACGAAGCCAAGGGTAGGCTAGGCAGCCAAAGGAACATAATTTATAATAGTTTGGAAGTGTGTTGAATAGTCAAAAATATGGATAATCATTTTGTAGGGTGGCAGTGGGAACCTCTGTTTATAAGTAGGCAGTAGTAAAGACTGCGAAGGACCAGAGAAAAGTTGTTTTATTTTAGTTTGAAAATAGCTTTCAACAAAAGATTAGAAGCGTGTGAATGTGATGATGGAGTTTTATTTGTGATTTAAGGGATATAACCACATGTGTTTGGTAAAGTGATCTACCAAAATGATGTAGTATTTGAAACCATCAAAATAGGTTATTAGAGAGGACCAACATCCGAAAATATTAATTGTAAAGGTGATGTGGAAGTGAGAGATGTGCTATGAAAAGGAAGTTTATGGTTTTTATTGAAGCAACAAGAGTTACTATTATTTTTCATAGATTTGATAATAGGAATAGTAAAATCTAGGTGTTGTAAGACTCGAAGGTGTGGATGCCCAAGTCGATGGTGCCAATAGATGAAATTACAAGTGTGAAATGAAAGTGGTTAAGAGGTGGAATGTAGCTCATAGATGCCACGACTAGGTGTTCCTCAAAGTAAGAGATGATTTGTTTTGAAGTACTTGATAAAAAAATTGAATGAAAAAAAGCAATTAGTATGTTGTTATCAAGGCATAATCGAGAGATAGATATAATGTTCTTGGAGATAGAGGGGACACCTAGAACGTTTGTTAAAATAAAAGGAGTATTAGAGAATTGAAGAGAGAGAGATCCAACATGAGTAATACTAAGAGACGAACCATCATCGATGACTAGTTAGGGCACCACTGTAGAACATCCAGTTAGGGTTTTTGTCTGGGTCTGTGGTAGTCATGATATTTGTCTGAGTATTGTTAGAAGAAGTTTTTGGTAACGGAGGTAGAGTAATTTGTGGATGCTTATTCTTGAAGGCATGGGAGGAGGTTAAAGATTGACCTTTAGCGAAGCAAAACTAACACTTCCCTAAAAGTTGTTGTGTTGTTCTAGTTGGAGTGGGAAGGAGAGTCGGTGAGGATTGTTGATTGCGACTATTCCAGGGATTATTTGAAAGACATTTATTTGTTGTAAAAGTTATGGCCGGTTGATGGAGATTGGTGGTGGGTTGGGATTGTTGCAGCAAATCAAGTTCATGATTGATAAGTTTTTCATGTAATTCATGAAAAGAGATGGGTGTATCGCATGCATGAATAGAATCTATGACTGTTTTATAGGAGGTGGGGTCTAGTCCATTGAGGACATAACCAGTGACATCTTCAGTGTCCATCTTCTTACCTAAAATGTTTAGTTCATCATTGATGACCTTGACAAATTGCATGTAATTGGTGATTCATTGGTCAGGTGTTTTAGTGGAGAGTTTCAGGCAGTGTTGTAGTTGTTTGATGTGTCCACGAGATGGTTTGGTATAGGCGATGGAGAGAATTGTCCAAGCTTGTAATGATGAAGAAGAATTAGTGATCAAAGGAATGATGGGGTGGGAAGAGAGCCAACAATTCCTCAAAAAATCAATCAATCCTGGCGGAACTAGACTACAGAGTCTTTGTGTGGAGTGGAGACACCTTCAATAATTGTGGGTTCTGGTGTAGGAGTGCTGCCACCAATGAACTTGTGGAGGTCCATACCATGGCGAAGAGCTTCAATTTAAGTTTTACAACTCATGTAGTTGGTAGATTTGAGTTTTACGGAGGGTGGGAATGGAATGAAGGTTAGAGATGTTATGGTGAATGGAAGGGTTTATATGCTAGATGCAGAAGAAGCATGAGTAGAAATCATGATTTGGAGATGGAGAAAGTAGTCGTCGGGAACAGTTTAGGGTTTCCTAGTTGATACCATTTAAGTGGATCGATGAATGATAAATGTCTACTGATAATTGAAGAGGTATATATACATGAATCGCTCCTAACTTTGTGGATTTGTTACAACAACTGATTGAATATATCTATATGACTTAGTCTAGAGTATATCTACAATATTGAATATAGGTAATATGCACGTATTATATGTTACTAATTGCTAATAATTGAATAAAATTTCACCAGTCAATAGAAATCGGCCAACAAAATGTATCATTTAACAAAAGAAACAATGCAAATGAGATAAGTCGAGATTAAAGAATATATTGATGTTCAACTTATAGATTTATTTCCAACCAAAATAAAAACATAAATCAGGGAATTCTATATCAATGAGAGACTAGCAATAACAAACAAATCCATGATGTGTATACACTCATGTGCATAAAATTGATCACCTCTACTGTTTATTTTACGTAAAGATATATTTTATGTTACATTGTATAACATAAAATATATCGTTGCGCTAAAGGAATACATTTGACTCTAAATAGAGTTGATCTTATTTATAATATATATATATATACCACGTAGCACCGCAATACTAAACAAAATTATGAAAAATTTGATGTTTCTATACGAAATTTGAAGGGTCACATAGGCTACTCCGTCCACCCATGTGAATTTGCCTCTGGTTACACACAAAATGATTAATCATTAAATGTATCATCCAAAGTGAAAATTGATTTCTTAAACTTTTGGAAATTAGTTGGCACTTTGACGTTGGTTGCCAACCCAATGGCTTCAAGAGACCTTATTATGTACCAAGTAACGTCGATTTGCCACCACTCAAATCCATGTCGAGCTGAATACTCAAATGCATGATGATTGTTATGCCATCCTTCTCCGAACGCAAGCACTCCTACCCACCTTCACAATATTTAGACAAACGTTTTTGTTAGATTCTAGTTTGATTATTTAGATATTTATAAACGTACCAATTGTTTTTGGAGAGATCACTTGTATTCCAAGCTTGGTTTCCCCATATGTGACAAACAGAGTTCACACAGAAGGTGATGTGGTAAAGCCATACAGTTCTCACACCCTACATACACCATAAATATAAATTCAAAATGATTTTTTTGTAATTTAGAAGAACATGGGAGAACCATTATTTGTGTGTGTCTCTCTCATTGGTTCTGTATGTGCTTTGTTTTGTTTGGTCAATTAATACAGGGAAGAAAATAGAAACATTGATGATTCCCGTATTCTTAAGGGATGATGATTTGTATGTATGCATGTGTATTCGTGGCTCTCTTCCTTTCCCTTCTTGAGACCCACCCCATTTTCTTGAAAATGGATTTGTAGTCCTGATCAAAGAAAGAAAAAGAAGAACAGAGGATTCCCCTATCTTTATGTGCCTGTGTATATTATGTAGACAACACCCCTTCTTTTTCCCTTTGTACCCATTAGCAGGTAGGTATGATAAATCTTGGGGGATAGATTGATGACCTTACCTTTGCAAAAGAACCTTAATCTTATGAACGGCGGTGTACTTCTTAGTATTTTATATGCCATGTAAGAATTAAATCTCGTCGTCAAACAAATAATAGAGACCGAAGTAGTGACTTTTTATAAACATGACGACCATTTACGTAATTT